TAGGGACAAGAAGATATTGTCCAGCTGTAACACTACATAGGCTGCAAGATCCTATCACAGACTTACACTGCAGATATCCTGTTAAAAAACCAAACAAGAGATTTTACCTCATGTGATTGCAATGTGTATCGTGGTCATTGCATCACAAAAAAATCCCTCTTTAAGGCAGAAAGCTGAAAATGACCAATAGGTCATCCCCTCCCCCTCCACTCTTTGGCAACTCTCGACAAATTTTAATTTTTGAGGATTTGTTGAAGAAAATTGGGCTCAAATTCCCCTGACAATCACATTTTCTTTAATTGAATGATTCTTTGTGTGATCTATGAATATGGAAAAATTTAGCAGTCACCTCTTAGTTTTTGGTGCAGCAGAGAGTTTGATTTTTTGCTTATTAGCATCATTCTATGATGTTAAAATTTTCTTGAATGACATTTGCTCACAAAAGCTGACTCTTAACCTTTAAACTCGTCCATATTTAATGTCAAAACTCATTTCTTCTGCTGTTTCATATTCCTCTCCCCACCCAGGCAAGGTTCAAAAATGTCCCACCTTGGAGTATGGAACAGAGGGGATGGGAGGTGTGAATGTTGAAGCTTTAAATTAATTAGTGCATAAACCATATGGAAGTAGTTTTATTTAAAACTAGATCATCAGATTTCAATCCCCATTCCCACAGAAATCCTTTATCTTCACCCTTGTGCAACATGAACAGATATGCATACTGGTCAACTTTATTAGGCTCATTGTATGGGCAGGGCTACCTCACAGTAGAAGGTGTCATGACCAATTGTCAATTACAATTTTCACTATCTCATTATAAATTTACGAACTTAATTTCCTGCCATTGAAAAATTTTATTCCAGAAATATTCCAAATCTGTAGTAATCATACAAAGAGAATTAATTTTCTATTCAACCCAAACCATATTTATTCTAATCCTAATTAGGATATTGTATTTGACAAAGGAAAAATTTTACGAACCATTTGGTTGTTATACATTTTAGGCAGTGTAGCCAAGTGGTTAGGGCACTGGACTTGTAATCTGGTGGTCCGGGGTTCAAGTTCAATATATTTGTACGATGAAATACAATGATTGTAACTGATTTTTTACTGCAAAATTACTACTAAGGCAGGGCCTTACAAAAAGCATTGAGAGCTAATGAAAATAATACAG